TCCGCTGTCATAGAGCTGAAAATGGACAATGAGCTGAAAATGGACAATGAATTTTAGGACGCATCATTGGTTGATTTTTCTCTGTTATTAACCAATGTCACTGTTATTAACCAATGTCAGTGAAGGCAAAAAGTCGCTGATATTTCAGCGGCTTGTAGAAAAAGCCAAAAACCGCTGACACAAAAGTCGCTCCGAACACGCCCTTAGCAATAGGTTAGAATTTACCGTTGGAGATGCTCTAACTTATCTGGTCGATTCTTGGTGGAAATGATGATGCCTGGCGATGGCATATCCGAGGGCGGCCGCCTGGGATATCATAAATGTTAACAATATGCAAGTTGGCACTACATACTTGTGCAAAGTGCCATTTCGCTTTGGCATAATCCTGTTGGATGCCTTTTCCGGATTGCAATAAGCACCCTAGGTTGAAGTGGCCGTGGGAACTGCCGCGCGCCGCCGCCTCCCCAAAGAATTCGGCGGCTTTGCCCACGTCCATATGGCACCCCACGCCTTCCTCGTGCATGAGGCCGAGTGCATTCAGCGCCTCTGGGTCGTTCTTCCTTGCCGCGATCGTGTACAGTGCCAGTGCCTTAACCCGATCGGGAGCAACCTTCTTGGCGTCGACTACTCCCGAGTAAAACATCGCCGCCGCCCGTTTCGCTGCTTCGACATGTCCCTACAAGTAAGTATATTGGGTTGGGAAGGAAGTACGGATGAAGTAGACTAACCTGGTCGGCCGCCGCAATGTAATGGCGTAATGCAGTACTTCGACTGTCGAACTCGGCACTTTCAAAGATTCGACCTAAGATAGTAAGTAGTACTAATGCATCAAATTCTATCCATCAACAAAGCCACCTACCTTTCAAGTATGCTGCTTGGGCTGCAGTATGGTCGTCCGTAGTAGTACTAGTTGGACTACTACTACTAGTAGTACTAGTTGGACTACTACTACTAGTAGTACTAGTTGGACTACTACTACTAGTAGTACTAGTGGGACTACTACTACATAACAACAGGTAGCGCAATGCTTGATGGGGTGTCTGTAAGCTGCGGTGGGCCATTTCTAAGCACGCTTTTGCCTGTCCAGCTTCTGCCGCCTATCCCAAAAAAAATATTTAAAAAAAGGAAGTATATTATTTTTCACGCCGCTTTCACCTGTCGAAAGTATGCTAATGCCCGAGGAAGGTCCTCTGTCACATCTTCTCCAGCAGAGTAAATACACCCAAGACAGTATCGCGCATCAGCAGCAGCATCGCTCTGGACCTCTCCACCTGTCTAGTTCAAGATAGGTAGAAACCAATATATATATATAAATTACTTGTGAATTCTGCAACGCCCGTTGAAAATGGTGGGCTGACAGGGCCTTGTCTTGGTCAAAATACAAGTGCCCAAGTGCAAAATCCGCTGGGGCGTACGCTGCAGCACTGGCCTTCACAAACCAGTCCATTGCTTTTGTTACGTCCACTGGCGCCAGTTTGCGTTGATATATGGTTCCTATTTATAAATATTTGAATACCGGCAATAATAATAATATAATATTCTATTACCTGCGGCGTATTGGGCGGCCGCGACCCCTCGATCACCGGCCTGCGTGAGCCGAACCAGCGCCATCGCATACAATTCGTGTTGCTTGGTCGATTGAGGACATCGGTCGGCTTTGTCCATCTAATAGTTTAATAGTTGTAAAATCATAGAATATATGTATTATTTTACCATCAGCAAGCCCAGATTGGACGCGCCAAGCAGGGCTCCTTCGTCCGCTGCCCGAGTGAGCCACGTCATCGCTTCTTCTTGATCAGCATCTGTGCCTATTCCGTCGCGAAGCATACAGCCCACACAAACCATTGCATCCACATGGGCGTGGGTTGCAGCGGTCTAACAAATTATAAAAAAATATTCGATAAAATATGATGTTTTCCGTGAATTTATATTGTACGAGATACAGCCGGAACGCCAGACTCGAGTTTTTGTCTTTGCCGTGGCCAAAGTAATGCTGATGCCCCAGCAAGTACATGGCCTCTACACCGATTTTCGCGTTAGTAGTACATATCCTACTAGCATGGGTTACTAGTACGTTACTAGCATGTACCGTAGTCGACAGGTGGCGGTTCATCCGGTACTGGTGCGATAGTTGGCTTGCTGAGGGCGGCTAAGACGGCAGCTTCCGCGGCAGACCCCGTCGCTTGGGCGACTGCCAGCGATAGCTCAGTGAACTAGCGTCCCATAAGTTAAGTATCCCAAGTAATAGATATTACTAGTATGTACTACTAATATGTACAGTACTTCGTACAATGGAAGCATAGTAGGAGCTGATTTCTTGGAATGCAAACTGGATGGATTTCTTCACAAACGCATTGACGAGGAACGATGTCGCATGAATGCTAACGTTAGGTGACGAAACATAACGTTATGGGAAAGATATGCTGCTGTGTACGAGTGGATGATTGGCTCCAGCCCGTGGACACTGGCGAGAAAGTTGGTCATTTGGATGTTCAGGCCAGGGGTGGTCGCCAAGTAGGCTGAGAACGTGGCTTGGTGGGCTCGCACTTCGTCCTCTGCTTTGCCCAGCAGCCCTCGCAACTCGCCTAACAACAGATTCATACTTCGAAGAAGACAAAGCATTGAGCACCGCCAAGGCGGATGGACCGAAGTTTCTTGGGTTTGATGGCGTCCATGCGACGCAGTAACTGGTCCAGAAGGACCAACACCTCGTCGACCAAGTCGGTGCGTTTGCTCGCAGCGTCTTGAACATCAGGATATACGACGACAGGATGGTCCTGGTTGTCGTGGACATGACGGGATTGAAGGTTGAGCTTGAGCCGAGGCGACGGCGGCGGATGGCGAGTGGCGGCGGTCCCTGCGATACGGATCAAGTGAAGGCGATGGCTATTAGATGATAGTACACCAACCTGACTGGACGACAGGAGAGGTCTGTGAAGGGGAGTGCGGAGATGCACGTGCTGTGGGAGACAGCGCCCGGGTCACGGTACCCAGCCGCTTGAGCATGTTGGGAGTTACCGCGCTATTTTAAGATGGATTCGTGGTCGCGCCATGCCGACGATGTGAGTGGTGTGTATGCGATGATGGAGGACGAGGTCCATCACGTATTACGACACAAATGACAACACAAAGTGAAGAACGAAATTAAATACTTATTGCGTCGTCGATATATCTAGGTACGTAGGTAGAGATGGACCCAAGGAGGGAGAGGTTGGTTGATTAAGTTCGTTCGCCACGGATACGGCGGGCCAAGTGGATGTCCTTGGGCATGATGGTGACGCGCTTGGCATGGATCGCGCACAAGTTGGTGTCTTCAAAGAGACTCACCAAGTACGCTTCCGCGGCTTCTTGGAGGGCCAAGATAGCCGTGGTCTGGAAGCGCAAGTCGGTCTTGTAGTCCTGCGCGATTTCACGCACGAGGCGTTGGAACGGCAGCTTGCGGATGAGGAGGTCGGTGGACTTTTGGTAGCGGCGGATTTCGCGCAGGGCGACGGTACCAGGGCGGTAACGATGGGGCTTCTTCACGCCGCCGGTCGCGGGCATACTCTTGCGGGCGGCCTTGGTGGCCAGCTGCTTGCGGGGCGCCTTGCCGCCGGTGGACTTGCGTGCAGTCTGCTTGGTTCGGGCCATGTTGGTTGAGTCTTGTGGGTGAAATCCGGAAATGACGCCGTTTTCTCGGCTCACGGGGACACTGTAACGCCTGTCGCAAGGAGCTCAACGTGGATTGGTTGAAATCGAAACACTCCACCAATCACAATGCAGGATTTGGATTTTTTGAACCGCGCCGTTAACCCTTTCGGCGGCCATATATTATGGTACATTTCAAATCAGACGGTTTTTTCCACGTCGAAATCGAACCCTGGCGTTTCAAGCTGGGAAAATGCACCAAGCGGGGTACGATGGGTTCAAAATTCGAATTGGGCCGGGTCTGGAATTCCGTGACAGGTGCAAATCCTGGATTTCTCGCGATGGAAGGAAAATAGCCAGCTACCGCCGTCTTGCACGCCGTATGCCCATACTAAAATCAAATGAAACATGGAGCGACGGGGAAAACGAAGTGACTGGCTGCGAACCCAGAGGTCGGGCGCACTTGATGTTTGTATGCGATGGAGGGCTCGAATTAAGGCACAACTAAGTGGTGTTAAATAGATGAGTTCCGACCAGTTTAACGCCCATTTGGTGCATTTGGAGTCCTATTAGTAGTTACTACAATATTAATAGTACTACTACGATAGGTAGTTAGTACTTGGTACTATGAATAGTAACGTTAGATGAGGAGCATGAGGGATGGCTAGCCCTGCGATGATGTGTAGTGGGGGGGTAGTTTGGTAGGTACCATGTACAGAATGTAAAGCGAGGCAATGTCGTACGTACTACATATAGGGCTCATATTATATTAACGTTAACGACGAAACACTTAGGGGATTTCCACTTCTTCGTCGGAAAGGTTTCCGACCACGACGTCCCCTTTGGAGGCATCGACGTTGTCTGCTTCGATAACGTCATCGTCATCGTCGTCATCGTCATCGTCATCGTCGTCATCGTCATCGTCATCGTCGTCATCGTCATCGTCGTCATCGTCATCGTCGTCATCGTCATCGTCGTCATCCTTCTTGGACGCTTGAGCTTGGACGGCCTCGACAGATTCCACTGATTGAACGGCTTCGACGGCGGCGGCCGCTTCACTTTCCAGTCGACGAATTCCAACGAAAACGTCGGCTTCAACGACATCATCGTCATCGTCATCGTCATCATCGTCCTTCTTGGACTCGGCCTCCGCAGAAGCGGCTTCTACCAAGACTCGTCCGACCAGCTGCGCGTCCAATGCGGCGGCGGCGGCTTCGGCCACAGCCAGCTGAGCCACTTGGATCGAGTCCTGCGTGACTTGATCGTCGGCGGACACCGTGGCGGCGGCGACGAGCGCGAGGAAGGCAAAGACTCTCATGATCGACGGGAAGAATGTGGAAATGATCCATGTTCATTGCTCATGTTCATGCGCATGTCGTCGTCGTGTGCTGGGGACTTTCGCCAATCACACGACAACGATCGGTGTCGTTCAATCGACAAAAAGGGAAGATTTCCAATTATTATTGTATTATCAAGGCTTTTGTAACGAACCCTAAAATATTTCGTCCACCGGTTTTACACACCACAATGCACGACAACACGTCAACTGTACGTGATTTCCTTACTCCTTACTATGTAGTATACCGTCAAGTTTACTGGTATCCGAAACAAGTTTTGAACACCGAATATCTTCACTTTTGTATCGACAAAGACCTCGACAAGCTATTGGCTTAAATGGAATCCAATACCAGCCAATCAGAGCACGTGTTTGGTGATGGAGTTACGACCCAACAACATGCACATCAAGCACACAAATCCTGTAATAACTTACTTATTCATATTTCCATGTACCGTATTGGCTTGGTCATACTCTAGTATCTCTTTTATACTGTATGCATTGAACACGCCTGTGGTCCTGTATTGATCGTGATAGAGTATGTCATGCCTATGATACTATGCAGCGCTATTATGAATGAGCGATACATGCATTCTCATCACAATAATAGCAGCACGATTTTCATGTTAATCGGTCGATAAAAGCACGCGCAAGTATACGTATACTGTACACCCAGCAAGCGTGAAACCCCAAGCACGTTAAACCCCCAAAAATTGTTCAAAATGCGCGACACGAGTAAATAAGGTAATTCATCAATTATTGACACTGCTTTTGGTCAAGTTTTGGCCATGACTTCAAATCCCAGTAGCTCGAGAACGATATTTTCATTCTGATAGCACCACAAGAGAATATAAAACGCCACCATTGCATGATTGGACTACATTTCAGATTTGTATCGGAATTAACGACTAATCACGTATTTGGTTTTTGGGTTTAACTACATCAATTGTACGTTAAATAATAAAACCTCCACTCTTCGAGTTGGCCAGTTCGAAGTTTTTAGATGACGTGCACCATACCGTCGTTATTTTAACCCAAAATTCGACGGAAAATAGAAATGTCGATGATTGATAGAAATTTGATCGTGTGTCAGTCGTGCTTTCTCTTCGTTGGCCTTGCATTCCGCATTTCCCTGTATTACCATGCTATCACTCAACCTAGTTTCGATTTATCCTATGGACAACACACAAATTGTTATAAAAGTACTCGAACTGTAAGTACTTTCGCCACGCCAGATAACGTTATTGAAGGTTTGACACCAAGAACACTGATCCATCAAGCTCCAATAACGTTCACGACAACATTCAGAGCTTGCATATTTGTATGTAGAATCTGTACTCCAAAGTGATATCGAGTACTCAGGGGCGAGTGAGCCTACACTACTTCACACTCAATGCCCCTGCCTACATTCTTGCAATAACGTTAATTAATCATCCAATGATTTACGCTGTGGGCGTGATATATATACCAACTACCTAGCGAGTTTCACTGCATTCTACTTGTATCTGACACTATATAATCTCGCGACATTCATATAAGCTTAGGGTACACACAGTATGTGTCGTAAGGACTCACGGAACACGTAATCTATGAACGACCCATACGACAAGTACTGCTGACAAAAGTTTTAGGCGCCCCAAAGGCTCTTACGCTGGTCTATCATTGAACAGCATCGCACGTGTAGGGCTTTGCGCCACAAAAACCTGAGGTCGGTTTTGGAGGTCTGCCTTTAATGTGACACATCGGCAATGTGAACAATGGATGTATTTGAATTTTGAGCTGTACCGCATGCACTTTTTCGGCATGGACATGGTGTGACGCATTGCGACTGGCAGTTGTCACTTGGTAGGCAGATTCCGTTGAAGTTATTATGGAAAGTCACTGTATTGCAAGGACTTCCCTGGAAATGAGACTAAACTATTGCAACCCATATTCGAGCTAATACGTAACGTTAGTAAAACCTAACA